GAACACAGACTTCCTGGAGGTTCTCTCTCCAATAAACTGCAAAGCCTGCCATTATTCATCCAGTTTGCATGTAGAAATGTCCAAAAGGCGTCCGTGTAGCTGAGTGAGGCTAACAGACGGCGGACCGAGTGCTAGCAGTGACAATGGCGCCTGTCAATCAAAGCGGCTAGGCCCCTAATAATGCAGAAATTTAAGGCTTAATATAATTTAAACAGATGAGTTATAAAAAAATTCACCCCACTCACAGTTGTTACGAAGGGAAAAATTAGCGATTTGCACTAAAAACATTTTTTGAACCAGGCTGTAAGCATGTTTTATTCTGCTGTAAAGTTGGGCATTTTAACATGGGGGTTGATAGAGATTGACTCCCTTCTGCAGCTAGCCTCAAGTGGCCACTCGATGAATTGCAAGTTTTCACTCTGGTATAGGAAGTGAGAGCTGGCTCTTGGTGTGTTGCAGTACTGGCGTGTAAACTGCTCCTTAACTAGACAGCAGATCAGCTGTTCAGATCAGTTCTGCACAAACAGTTATTTCTTACTGTGTATACCTGTTTGGTCCATGAAAGGAAACTTTCTGTTGCTGCAGCAGAAACATTATTAAAAGATGTATTTTTTTGAAGCAGTGTTCATTTTATTGTCTTGACTGTAGCACTTGCCTAAAACAACCTTAACTTTAAATTAAAAGCTGATAGCTAAATGAGGCATTGTGTAATTTTGCAATCCGTAATCAGAATAATCAGAATTATTTGACTATTAAAATAGTCGTTACTTGCAGCCCTAGAGATAATCAGAAGCTACTTTATACATGTGGTGGATTAAAAGCTTCACATCTTGTCTGACTTTGCTCCTCAGTCCCTCTCTTCAGCCACACTCTCCTCCCTCTGCATTACTCTCTCAATTAGGACATCTTCTTTTCATTAACTTCTCACACCTGCCACCTTCATGCACGTCAGCTCATTTTTCCAAAAACTCATTGAACGGCAACAGTCTGCCTGTTTCATCTGTGTTTGCGTCCAGTCCACATCGCCTCAGCAAACCCACCCTGACACATCTTGTCTCATGAGGCCGAGTTTGAGCAATTCACAGGTATCAATGTGTCAGTTATTTTTGTGGTTTACCATGTTAATAAAAGCAAAATAGTGAGTAGAAAGAAGTACAAGAAAACTGAAAACAAAAGTCTGAGGATGTTTTTCTATCGTCTTAAAATAAGATATAGAGGGGAGATGTTTAGATAAATACAGAAAGAATAAAGTGAAATTGTGAGATTTAAAACTAAAAACAAGCAAATAGGCTTGTGGAATCAAATCAATATCAATGAAAGATGAACCTCTTTTGTCCTGGTATCCAGCTCCTTCTGCAGCAGCTTCTTGTCGTCCTCACACCTCTGCTTCTCCTGTTTGAGCTTCTCGACCTGAGGAGAGAGAAGATAAAGACAGAAGATGAGAGAACTTTTCTCTTATTAAAGTAGTGAGTTGAGAAAAGTCTGTCTCAGTGTTTTTCTTCATCTCAGCTGGTTAAAGGGTTTCTGTCAGTGAAAAAACATGATGAGGATTCAACATTATTTACTCTGTGTGCTGCTGACTGTTGTTGACTTGTTCTCCAGCTAACACACTCACACACACAAGCTGTGTTTCCATCAAGGTTTTAATATCTACATTGTAAAGTATCACATTAGAAAAGGTTGACAGACAAAGCAAAATATGAAAAAACTTAATTTTGCAGGTGGTTGTTGTCTTAGTCTAAAAAGAGTTACTGCACTAAATGAGAGATGGAAACACTTTTACAGAATAAGTTCTGATGGAGCGAAAATGTGACTCACGACTTGCTGGATATTCTCACAACACACAGAGACAAGGGAGGGGAGTACCATGACAACATAAAGTGAAAAATAAAATTGTGCAAATGAATTGAATGTTGAATTAATTCAACAATTAAAACTTGTTTATTCATTATAACAATTATTGAAGTTTAATAACTCTGTTCAGGAACAAAGACTTCGCCTCAAACACACCTGATTTTAGCACACAAAGTATTTAAGCACACCTTTTCTGTTCTCTTCACTCTGACCAGATAAAATAAAACAGCAACTGTGAGATTTCAAACTAAAAAACAAACAAATAGGTTTGTGGAAACAAATCAATATCAATGAAAGATGAACCTCTTTTGTTCTGGTCTCCAGCTGATACTGCAGCTTCTTCTTGTCGTCCTCACTCCTCTGCTTCTCCTGTTGGAGCTTCTGGACTTCAGCTGTCAGTCTTTCCACCTAAGAGGAGAGAGAAGATAAAGACAGAATGAGAGAACTTTTCTCTTATTAAAGTGTGAGTTATAAACAATAAAACATGACAGAAAGATACTCCATGGTCTGATGTATGCAGCAATTTTAACTGTTCATGTTAAAGAAAAGCAGCAGGTTTCTAGTTTTATAGATGGAGCAAAGTCACAGTTCTTTTGCACCTTTAGCCACTGAGAGGCAGCAGAAACAAGTTGTGAACACAATATTAAAGGTGATGTAGTGAATTGTTAAACAGCTACTTTTTTACACATCCTACAGTTACATTTCATGTTTGTGTCACCTGATGAATGTAAATCCAATATTAATTCTCTTTTTGCTCTGTTTTTGGTCTCCTGAGGGAAATATCTCTTTCTTTAGCTGCTAAATGCTCCGCCGTGTTCACCTGCTGTGTCTCTTATGTGCTTTTCATCATGGCACTGAGTTGAGATGTTCTTTCATTAAGACTTTCATAAAGCATGACAGCAGCAACAGACATAGTCTGCCAAGTTGCACATTTGTGTAGATCAGAAACAGCAGATTAAAATACTAAGAAATGTTTTTTTATTTGAAGATCATCATGTTCTATATTTGAAAGAGACACATTTGAAGGTGAACTGAAAACAAGCAAGTTTGTGTCTTGAAATAAATCATTTGTGGCGAATACAATATTAACCTCTGTGATCTTAGTCTGCAGCTCCTCCTCCAGGGTCTGAACTCTGCTCTCTGCTTCCTCCCTCCTTGGCTGCTCATCCTGGAACTTCTGCCGGGAAACGATCGGCCACTTAAACTGAGAGGAAACATTAGATATTAAAGACAAGATGAGACGTTTCTGATTAGGGAACACCAACCCAAACTGACACTTTTAAAGTCGTAGGAACACACATTAGCAACAACCTGACATTTGACAACTAACACTAAACACAATCATTTCAAAAGCTCAACAAAGACTTTACTTCCTCAGGCAGCTTAAAAAAAATACTTCAACTCAATAAAGATGAAGATTTGTGACCTAAATGCAGTGATGTTAAAGCCTGCACACCTTTGTCATTGTAAATTTCTGTATGAGGAAACCTTTGAGAGTATTCATTTTATTTCTACATGACCACTTACCAGAGGGAAGGAAGGCTGGACTGGAGCAACTCTGCTTCTTTCCAACTGGGAAGAAAAAGAGATTAAAGGAGCCATGTTCTTTAATTAACATATTTAATGGTTTATTATCTAAACCATTTCAAATATTTGACCTTAAAGGTTCTCTGGAGTTTTAAACTTCTATAAGTGCTGTGAAGCTGTTTGTCTATGAATGAGTTCCAGTTTTGTTGATCTTGAGCACATGATCACATGTATGTGGGTAACAGATACATGTTCCTGCCAGTCTTTTCATACTATTCACTGATCTACTGGTGGCTGAAAAACGCCAAGATATGCAGAAACACACCAGCAAAGGCACGAAGAAGAAGACTGCTGTAGTAAACATGGATGTAAACAATTTTGGATTTAAAATACTTGATTGAAATTAAATTTAGACTTCAAACACACACGATGTGTTTTGGTGAGTAACACTGAATGTAAATATAACTTCTGTTTAATCACAAGAAAACTCCACAGAGCACCTTCAGGTTTAAGGTCTGAATGTTCAAAACATGATGATGATGAGTGTTGCTGAATGTCTGAGCATCGACACTGATACCAAATATCTCTATAAATATCTGGATACTCTGATACTTTTTGTTCAGTAGAATAATGAACCTCTCTGTTCTCCGTCTGCAGGATGGTCTCCGTCCTCTGAATCTGATCCTGGAGCTGCTGGACTTCAGCTTGTTTGTCTTCAAACTGGGAGGAACGAGAAGAGGACACAATATGAGAGACATGTTTAACTATGAATGTATATTTGAGTTAATGTACTGCAACATGTCAACAGTAACAGAAAAACTATCAAGCCTATATCATGGTTTTATTTGTGCGTCTAATTGGAAAGTTTCTGAAGTAAGTGACTCCCTCTGTGCACAGACTGGGTGAAAAGCACTCCTGCTGTTTTGGTAGCAGCTGGGCTCCATATATAATGTGGGGGTACAATAAAAATAACACACTTTGATTTGGATTGAAAATGTGAATTTCTACATAAATCCAATCCTGTGAGTTTAAGTTCTTTATCACATCAAATAAGAATTTAAAATGCATCTCAAGAATAAAACACGAAACAACATTTTGGCCAGAGAAGTTGAAAGGAGGCCCTGGTGCACAGGAATAATGAGCCCCAGTAATCCAGCATCTGTATGAACTGAATACTGAATCACACCTGACCAGCCTGAGAGCCTGTGCAGACGAGGCTGTGGTTGCTTTTTGGCAGTCTGGTGGACACACTGTGAGTCACTGCTAATAATCTTTAGCACAGACTGATTTACTGATGTTCTCTATCGTTACAAAATGCATCTACTGGTTGGACAGCGTGTAATCTAAACAAATTAAAGCATTTCTCCATAATCGCAATGCCAAACTGGCAGCAGATACTCATTTGAATGAAGCCACCTGTTTGTGTCCTCCACTGTTTATACAGCCCCAGAGTCATTTTGTTTCTAACTGGAAATCACAGCCCTCTTAAAAAGGATAAAAATCATTCCAGTCTCAAACCCTCTTCGACCTGTTCCTGACCCAGACAGAGAAGCTAAACTGAAAACAAACCAGTAGGTGGCTGAAACCAAATCTGTTGAAGAAAAGATACAAATACAAACCTTTTTGATTTTGGTCTTTAATTCCATTTCCAGGGTCTCCAGCTTTGACTTCAGTGTCTTCAACTCAGCTTCCTTATTTTGAACCCGGCGCTTATTAAGACAGATGACTGAACATATTATACAATCACCCATCTTGCAAAAATGAAGCATCAAGACTTTTACTGAATAACAAGTGAGAAATCTCAGCTCTCATGTAGAAGAAATGTTGCAATTTATTGGCAAAGTTTCCTGGATAGTTTTGTTTCAAGTGAGTAACACAGTTATAAAAGTAACGCAGTTACAGCAATGTATTACTTATTGCTGTAACACAGTAATATAACTCATTACTAAAAGAGAATCAATAATATTATACCCGTTACCATCTCAGTAACGTGCGTTACAACACATTTTAACCCAAAAGTAATGGGTGTTTTTTTTTATATAATTCACCAACACCGAGAAAAACAAAACCGTGAGTAAAAGAGCAACATTATTTCTTGTTGCTGTAATCCAACGGTGGAGATTGTAGGCAGGGTGAGCTCGACTCCTCTTAGCTCCCCTGATGGATCATGTGTAAATAGATTTCTATATGTGTTTGTGCTTTAACGAATTACTTCCATGATTAGAGAGGCTGCTGTCAGATCCTGTCGGAGCGTCGGGAGATTAAAATGATTAATGAGGTTATGCTGCTGCACCTCGTGCGTAAATGCACACAGTCTCTTTCTTAATGGGGAGACGATTCATCCTATTCCCCCCCGACAGATATAACTGTGATCTGCACGTCACTAGAATCCACCTATGCAGCACATCAAAAGTAGTGCAAAGCTTTACAATTCAGAGACAGTAATACTGTCACATAAATAATTACTCTCAAATGACAGTAACTAGTAATCTATAATGTATTACATTTTGGAAGTAACTTGCCAACACTGGTAGTAATGTGGTTTTCCCTCATTATATATTCAGATTATCTCTGCTGCTTTGTTAAAGTTGCTCATGCTGCTCAGTCTGTTTCTGCATTTGGTCTCATTCACAATCTAAAAATATGGACATATTACAATAATGTACTTACTTTGTGTTGTGGTGTTATCTTAATTATATTCTAACCACTTACCCGAGAAAATACACTGCTGATTCGGCTGATTTGAATTATCTCCAGCTGGGATGGAGGTGAAGGACACAAAGAAACACATGAGTTCACATTAAATCATGTGAGTAGTTTTACAAACTAATGGGACAGTTACACTACTTACTCACACAATTACTGCATGAGTAATAATAATGTAATATTAGTACAACAGTCACGAGACATTGAGTAATGAGTACTTTTACTTTTAATACTTGAAGTGCATTTTCCTGATTATACTTACATACTTTTACTTTAGTAACATTTTCAATGCAGGACTTTTACTCGGAACAGAGTATTTTTACAGTGTTGTACTTTTACTTAAGAATCAGAATATATCCACACATATAACTGAGTAACTAGAGTTATTTTTAAAGGGAAACCTGACGTATGCAAATTGTTTAATAAACAGGAAAGTTTGCCTACTGTGTTTTTAAAGTCAGTTTGTCATCTCAGCAACACCTGACAAACAAAACTATACTAACGGTACTTTTACTTTTTAAAGCAGGTACTTTGTAGTTTGACTCAAGTAGAAATTTAAATTGAAGACTTCTACTTTTAATGGAGTAATATTTATCAAGGATAGCTCTACTTTTAGTCAAGTACGGGATTTGTGTACCAGTGAATAAAGTAAATATTGTGTACTTTATTAATTATCATTTAGTGACTGAGAAACAGCAGAAGTGATGAGTGTTGAGCCTCTGGCTGGCTGTCACTGCTCCTCCTGCTCACTGATGAAAGGGGCCATTTAGTAGTTAGGCTGACTCCTCATTCTCTCTTTGTTGCCTTCACAACACCGAACATCCACTCAACACAACAACCACCACTGACTTACAAAGAACTTAAGTTTCTGATGGTGTGTATTCTCCCTCTTTGTGTGGCTCACTGAGTCTGGGCTGTGACACAGTAAATACAGAAAGATTAAGATAAAGACATGAACCTCATTGTTCTCCAGCTCTTCCTTCACAGTCTGCAGGTCGTTCTCCTTCCTCTGCTTCTCTTCTTGGAGCTGCTGCAGCTCAGCTTGTTTGGTTTCAACCTGGAAGGACAGCGAGAAGTTTTAAAGAGAGGAAATGAGACAAATGTTCTTTTTACAAACATTTAAAACTTTACACTATAAATTAACATCTGTGACAAAAAAAAAACAAATAAGACTTTATTTTGTACTTGACCTACATAAACTACTGTGACATAAAAATGTGACTTCATACTATAATCAATGTATTATATTATTAAACTAAAGATGAACCTCATTCCTCTTGGTCTCCAGCTCATCTTTCAGTGTCTGAACTCTTTTCTCAGCTTCATCCCTCCTCTGCTGCTCCTTAAACTGAAAGAGAGGAGAGACAGAAACAGGGACAACAATCCAGACATGATTTTAGGCATATTTATTTTATTAGAATTTGCAATTGATAAATTTCAACAGCATTGCATTTGTTTCTTACCTCTCTACCTCGTTAATTGTTGTGTTGTTTTAATCAGGTATGCGATTGGGGCAAAAAAGCAGGAAAATATACTGAGACCCCCCCACACCCTGATAAAACTGGCGGCGGCACTATTATAACATGGATGGTAAAGCAGGACCCATGACAATAACTTATTTGGTGGATGTGTTGCAGTGGGAATTTAATCCACTGCGCCTTCGCATCCTCTTTAATAATTATTATTTTGTATTATTTTTTTTACCAAACTTCAACAGCTACATGTGCAACATGCAACATGAAATAATTGAGTCTATAACTAAATAATATAACTACTAACTTTCAAATTAGTTCAGTAGAAGTTAAAGCAGCAAAGGTTGTTTTGTGTATTGATAAAATGTAGGAAAAAATTTGACATTTCAACTCTGGCAGCGGGCGGGCCAGTTTCACAGAAGCCGTTGCCATGGTTACCTCGTGAAGCACTTGTTTGCCTGTCTGTTGATGAGGAGCGCAGAGCCGTATGAAAAGGCCTCATATAAATCCTGTCACAACGTGCCAAAACCTTTAACATAAGCACGACCTAAAAACCATTCATACAGCAAAGTGTGTTTAGACTACAGGAGTGATCAATCGACAACAAAGTCAAAGCAAACTTTAGACATATAGCCTATAACAAGCGATAATCAAAACATACGCGAGAGCGACTGTGGTACACACTGCGCAGGTGGGGAAACATCCTTGTTGATACTTTATATATTATATTTTACACGTCAGCCTATATAAATGACCTCAAATCCTTTCCATTTCACTCCGCCAGCTCCTGAACCCCCCTCTTCTTTTTTTTATTACAGATCTGCATGATTCACTTGGGTCAGATTTACAGGCCACATCCTTGTTTAATCTCCATTGACTTTTGCTTTCAATGTTATGTCCTGTTTCTTTACTTACATGTTTTGTCTTTCTTTCCCCTTTTTTGTTCTTCACACTCTTCATTGTCACTGTTTCATTTGTCATGAGCTGCTCTCTTTCTGCTTCAACCTGAACTTCAGGTTTGTTTCTTTTAAAGCGCTCCTTCTGTTCTCCTTTATCCATTTCATCCCTGTGGCTTCTCTTGCTCTCTGTGTGAAAATACAGGCAGTAGAATTAAAGTCATGTCCTTGCATCACAGCATATGAGACATTTGAGTCTAAAATTAGGTGTTAATGGGCAACAAAAATAAGACACTTGAGAATTTGACTTATTACAAATAAAAGTAGAAAAAAATAATGACATTTCAATCATATTCATTTACACAATTAATCACATTACTATGTCCCATTAATCTGTAATTAAGTTGCAACTCACTGATTCTGTTCTGTCTGCATTTCCACAAAGAAAAGATAAGTAACAAAATGATCATGATGCAAGCAGCCAAACTAACAGCCAATCCAACCGTGACGGGGGACAAACTGGACTGGACCTCAAAGAAATCATCTGAAATGATAAAACACAAAATAACATGGTGTTTATAGAACACTAGACTTCAGCTATTTGAAACTAAAACATTGATCACATCATCAATCATTTCTACCTGGAACCTGGATGTGAGTGTCTCTGGTCTGGTTGATGTCCTTCTGTTGGACTCTACAGGTGAAGTTGTTGCTGTGTCTCTTCTCCACAGTCACTCTGCTGCTGACAGTATAGAGGTCATCAGGACCTCTGACTGTCTCTGTAGGTCCAGCAGAGAGGAGGTTTCCCTCACCGTCCAGCCAAAACACCTCAGGCTCTGGAAACCAGCCTGCAGACTCACACTGTAACACCACTCCCCCTTTGTCTCTGTCAATCCCTGCTAAACTGATGACAGGTGAGGAGACGGCCCCTGATGTTGAGCAAGAGGAACATTTAAAATACAGGTCAGTTTTACAAAGACTGCATTGATAATAAAAAAAAGATGTATAAATGTAAATCTACAACATTTTATTTTGTCCAGTACTTTGGTAAATATTTGCAAAACTAATGAGATTCCAGCCTCAGCTGCACTTTGTGTTTGGTCCAAATGATCAAATGTTAACATGTTAACACATTGAACTACAACAAGGTCAAATGTAAACTTTTTTTTTCAGCTTTTATGTAAATTAAAGAAAAAATAAGGACCAGTTGTTTCACACATTACTAATAATTTTCAGTGGTAAATCTGCTGCCATCATTCTTGTACACTGCATATATGGTGTGCTAGATCTAAAGCCTGACAGCTGTAGCAACAGTAACATGCAGGGTTTAATGAAGGATCAGCTAACATCTATTTGAAAGTCTGTCACAAAGTAAGACACATCACATTGTGTCTATTTTATATGATTGTATGTTTTATATTTAATTCAGCTGTTCTCAAGAACATGTAACCATTAAACTGGTGTTTGATGGCTATAGTTGAACTCTTCATGTCCCAACATGAATGGCTGAAAGCTGTTTTGATCCTACCTCAGTTATTCACTGGATACGCTGCACAGACTACACACCAAACTGCACTACACATACATCATGTATCTACTCACCAACAACAAGCTCAACGGAGGCGTCTGTGTTCATATCTGGAATGTAACATTTGTATCTCCCCTCATCAGAAAGTTTCACTTTGGAGAGTTTCAGTGAAATGTTTCCGTGCTTCAGTTCTTCAGTGAACAGAGTTGTTCTTTCTTTGTAGGATGGATTTTTTGGAGGATGGAGTTCCTGACCAGCACGCCACACATACACAAATCTGGGGTCCAGGTCTGGTCTTGCCCACTCAATAGTCTTGGCAGCAACATCCACTGCAGGCTGCAGATGACATGGCAAGATGATGTCATCGGCAACTTTTGTCACTATTGGCTGAGGAGAACCAATTAACTGAGAGTAACCTGGAAGGAAACAAAATAGTTAAATTAGTTCTTAGAGCTGAATTATATACAAAAAAATCATACTGGGTTTATTTTGACAGATACTGTGATATGAATTTTTACATTCTAAAAGTAAACAGTGTGTTTGTTGCAGGGCTCAGATACGGTGGCTCTGAAGGCTCACAAGAGGAATTTTTTGAGGACTACTTTTTCCCTCGCAATACTTTTCTTCTTCTGTTCTTTCTGAGCCGTACGCTCAGCTGCTCTCAGTGCAACACTCCAGTATGTATCCGCTTTTTAAATTTTATTTCAACTGAGCATTTCCTATGTTGATATACAGTCCCCTCCAAAAGTATTGGAACAGTAAGGCAAATTCCTTTGTTTTTGATGTTCACTGAAGACATTTGGGTTCAAGATCAAAAGATGAGTATGAGACAAGAGTTCAGAGTTTCAGCTTTTTTTTCCAAGTTTTCACATCTAGATGTGTCAAAAAAACTCAGGACATAACACCCTTTGTTTGAACCCACCCATTTTTCAAGTGAGCAAAAGTAATGGAACAAATAATCTTAAAGCAAATAACATTTAATATTTGGTGGTATAACCCGACCCATCAACATCACCAAACTGTTACATTCTTAATTTGTGATGCTATTCCAGGCTTTTATCGCAGCTTCTTTCAGTTCTTGTTTGTTTCGGGGTGTTATGCATGCTGGGTTCAGGTCAGGTGATTGACTTGGCCAGTCTAAAACCTTCCACTTCTTCCCCTGATGAAGTCCTTTGTTTTGTTGACAGTTTGCTTTGGCTCGTTGTCCTGCTGCATTATAAACTTCCTCCCCATTAGTTTCAATGCATTTCTCCGTAAATTGGCAGACAAAATGTTTCTGTCCACTTCTGAATTCATTCTGCTGCTACCATCATCAGTTACATCATCAATAAATATTAATGAGCCTGTTTCAGAAACAGCCATGCACACCCAAGCCATGACATCACCTCCACCATGCTTCACAGATGAGCTTGGATGCTTCGGATAATAAGCAGTTCCTTTCTTTCTCCACACTTTGGCCTTTCCATCACTTTGCTAGAGATTAATGTTGGTCTCATCAGTCCATAAGATTGTGTTGCAGAACTTCTGCGGCTCATCTCTGTACTTCTTTGCAAATTTCAATCTGGCCTTCCGATTCTTACAGCTGATGAGTGGTTTGCATCTTGTGGTGTGGCCTCTCTTTCTGCTCTCTGAGTCTTCTTCCAACAGTGGATTGTGATACCTTCACCCTGCACTGTGGAGGTCGTTGGTGATGTCACTTACTGATGTTTTGGGGGTTTTCTTCACAGCTCTCACAATATTTCTGTCATCATTCTGTTGTTTTCCTTGGCCGACCTGTTCGACGTCTGTTGCTCAGTTGCCAAATTGTTGTGCTTGCTGTGCCTGATGTTTGTCCAATGGCTCTGGTCGATTTTCCTTCTTTTCTCAGCTTGACATTTGCTTGCCTTTTTTCCCATAGACAGCTCTCTGGTCTTCATGTTGGTTTATCCTCTTTAACAGCGCAAGCCTCCAGCGAGATGACAGAGGGCTGCGTGTTTACATTGGTGATGGTGGCTGCTTGGTTTAATAATTTAATGAATGTAGGACTGCAGCATTAAACAAATGCCATCTCTAATTTTTGTTTTAATACAGTGTTTTGTCTTGTTAGTTGAATGAGACTGTTGTGACTTTGTTTTTAGCACACTGGACCACCAGAAACAGCATTTCGTTCATTTGTATATTCAGTAGGTGGATGAATGAAAATAAACAAACTATGACTCAATGTCAGTCCATCGGTTTCTATTTTGCATTAGTCCACAGCTATAATCAGTCAGGACTGCAGAAAAGATCATCGGTGCCAACCTGCCCTCCATTCAGGACTTTCCAGAGTCAGGAAACGGGCAGGAAACATCACTGCAGATCCATCTCACCCCGGACACAACCTGTTCCAGCTCCTCCCCTCTGGTAGGCGCTACAGAGCTCTGTACACCAAAACCAACAGACTCAGGAACAGTTTCTTCCCACAAGCCATCACTCTGATGAACAGCTGATTTCTGACTCACAGTGTCAGGAACAATTCCTGTGCGATAACCCAGTAACTCTGTCTCTAATCAGCACCTGTTTACTGGTTACCGCTTTTTATTTATTCCCCATTCTCCATTTCAAAGCTGGTCATTCTGTTCATTTTGTCATACTGTATAAACTGTATACCAAATCCACCTACCTCATGTACATAACAACTGCACATAATAAAAACATATAAAAATATAAAAAATTCTTTGCACTCATCACACTGTGTACATGTATGCTTGTATGTGTATGTGCACCTGTGTATTACATCCACCTCCGACATAATAATAATAACGGTAATAATAATTTTTTCCTGCATCCTTTGCACTCTGCTCTGCTCATTGCACTATTGTCCCAATCTGTCTGTTTTTGTCCATAGTGTGTATATATGTGTTCTCTGTACTGTAGCCTGTGTTTGATTATTATTCTCTTTGCATTATCGTATGAGTAAACACATCGTGAGCATTGTCCAGAGTGAAATTCCTCATATGTGTACACATACCTGGCAAATAAAGCAGAAATGAGCTATGAACCAAAAACGAAATACTCTTATACAATTATATTTGTGTGTGAGTTTACCTGTACAAAAGTGAGATAGAAGGTAGACAATGAAAAAACTGATTGTTCCGAGTGGATATTGAAGAGACAGTCCAGCCATCTGGTGATCCTGCAGTTGGGAAAATGAACAGAAACCATGGAAACATTATTGTGTGGAAAAGAGTCTCTTGAACTCCTGTCCAGGGAGAATATAATTTAAATCCTGAGCAGGCTTCAAAAACATTTTTTCCCTCAATCCCCAATTGAAATGAATGTAAATAAAAAACTGTTTTCTTTTAACTTGAAGTTTGCTCAGGATTAAGTTTATATTTGACCTTGTTCTGCTTATGTTGCCTAAACACTAGTTCAAATAAAAAACTTAAATGACATATTTACATACACACAGACTTCACCGACAGTAGCATACTGTAACACAAATAATAAAAACATGTGGTGACTTTTACTTTCGCTTTTGTCAACACAGACGGATCAATGAAAAATCTGTGCAGTTTCACTTTTGTTGTGGCAAAGACTGTTTCTTAATCAATCTTAAAAAATGTTTTAATCTAAAATGACAGGTCTATCTGACATGTTGCTGTCAAACTCGCAGGCGTCCTGTTCAAATGACTAAAAGCTCTAAAGCTGATTCATTTAGAAATGATTAGATATTATTTAAAATGACATATTCAGATTGCGAGACCTACCTGTTGTGGGTTCACAGACTGCGACTGTTCATTAATCCAGGTAAAGTTGGCGATAAACTGATACTGTTACGCCTCTCCAGCCTGAGAGGAAGTCATGGGCACATTTAATCTCAAAACATTTTGGACCGGTTTGCTGGGGTTTCAGGGGAGACCGGGTTGAACAACGTGTTTCCTCGAAACGGCGTGTGTCATCGAGCTCTGTGTTTTCCCGTTTCCAGTCTGTCACAGGTGTTAACCAATCAGCAGCGACTTGTATAAACGCCGGGGGTCGGCTATCTGGCAGCAAAGACACCGAGGGACGTGATAAGTTTTCATTTTTAGTCTGGTTTAGTTTGAAATTGCAAATACATTTCCCACTTCCATGTTTACCCATGTTTATTGATTTAAGTGTAACAACAAGGTAACTACAATAAAGTAAGTAAAGTCATCATTAAAAGCCCTTTTATAGAGACATCAGGTTTGGCAGAATAATTAGATAAAATGTAATATGCAAGGCAATAAATTTATTTAAATACAAACTAGCCTTATATGAATAACATGTGGCCAATGTATAAATTAAAGAGTGTAACTGTAAACCAGGCATTGTGAGCCAGTGTGGTTTCCATGAATAAACTCAGTTTCATGTCAGAATGTATAGATGTTTTCCCCATGTTAGAAAAAAAAAGCTGTCACAACAGGACCTTTTAGTAATTTGTGTTACATCTATCAGGCCTTTCTATAAAGTGAGTGGATGAGAGAGATAATAGGAGATTCAGGGACATAAAAAAATGACATCTGCAAGGGGCTTAGTGTGAAATCAGCTACACAATGTTTTTTGTATATTGCCTGATAACTTCTGTTTTATACTTAACTCCATGCAGCAACAAAAATACTCCACCACATTTACTTGGAAGCTGAAGGTACAAGTTACTTTGTTAGATTTTACTAATATAACATGTTTAGCTGATAAAATGTGTTGTTAAAGAATGAATAACCCTACAGTATATAAAACTGTTAAATTTAGCTTCACCTTCACCTACAACAATAAATGCTGCTGGCACATTAGTATAATACTGTAGTAATGTAATAGTAATATGTCATTCTGCCTGTGTACAAAAATGCCTTTTACCTGTGGTACTTTCAGCATATTGATAAAACTTTCACAGATGCAGGATTTCCTCATGGAGTACACTTACATTGGAGTACTGCTACTTGTCTCTAAATAAAAGTTTGTAATATTTTGTTCAAGCACTGTGTTGCAGACAGCCGGAGGATCGGACATTATTATCATTGAGAGGGACGAATGTTTAGCCAGACACAGACACAACCATATCACCACAATACTATTGAAATATTTTGCCTGCTATAAACACAAATTCAGAGTCATTAAACTCAAAGTGGTGAGCAACAAAGAGAAAATCATACAAATTTTTCTATTATTTTTTTTTTACATCATTCTCACCAGCTACAGAATCAACGTAGGAGGTCGACCTTAACCTGTGAACTATGCCTAAAGTTTTTATAAATGAACCTGATGTCAAATTTGAAGTTAAATTTGATTAGTTAATGCTGCATGTGAATTCCCAAATGTGCCTCAAAAAGACTAGCTGATTTATTTTGATTTAGTTCCATTTGTCACAAACATCTTTATTTCCCACTTTTGCATGTTTCACTTTTTTTCTCAGTTTCAGACGCAGCTTTTCATATTGTTCCAAACAGACTGCAGGTCTTTCAGTATGAGTCTGTCTCTTTTCACTGTGAGGGTCTTGATGGCTCCGCTCAGCTGAGAGGGATCAGGAACACTGAGGAGTTTATTAAAGTATGTGATAATAAAGAGACCCCAACAGGATCTTGCACCACCAACAGTGGAGAATACTGGTGTGAGACTACAGGAGGAGAGAGAAGCAGCACTGTGGACATCACTGTCACTGGTACGTTTATGTTTCTAAATAAAACTTAGATGCTTTAAATCCATTAGATTAACTGCGGACATGAATTGATAATATACAGATGTTTATAAGGACGGTTTTGTTGTTAAAATTTAACTGATTAACTGATCTCCACAGCAAACACTCTCAAAGTCAGCACACACTTTCAGTTACGATGAAAGTGTGACCTAACCCTGACTCATGGAAGACTGCCTTGTGTTTGTGTGTTTTTTTGTTCCTTGGGTGTGGCTGCAGTTTTGGTTTTGGGCCCTTTTCCCTTTCTCTCTCACCTGTAGGTTGCCGGGAGGCGTGTCAGCTGCGAGGGGAGCTGATTACACACACCTGCACGTGATTTGCACTCCCTCGGGTTCCTGCCCTATTTATAGGTAACTATACCTATACACTGTTTATTAAGCTGACAACTAACCTGTTTTTCCTGTGCTCAGGATCTCTACCGGACCCGTCCGAGACCAACTCACCTTCCCCGCCTCCTGGATCTCACTCTACTGCCTGTTACCTGTCTGCTTCTCTGCCTGTCCCGATCCCCGCAGCCACCGCCAGCTCCTTAGCTCAATAAATCTCTGAGAACCAGCTCTTGTGTCCAGTCTATTCCAGGGTCTTATCTGAAGCGTGACATATGAAGCCTTTGAGTAAAGTTGTGAAAGAAACCTCTTTTCCCCCAAGCCATCAGACTCTTCAACTCTAGTTCATCCTCAGCACTGCTCCTGTGATTATAGTTTATTTCTGTTACCACTTTTCATATTTGAATCTTTATTAATGTTTACTGTCTGCTATGTAGCAGAAGGGAGTAAAAAAACTCAATTTCACTCTACAACTTGTTGTACTGTGACAATAAAACCTACCTACCTATTTGACTGTTTGTGTCACGCCTTAAAATAATTCACAACATGCTGTGGGTCTATGATCATAAGTGACTCACTTCTGGCCGTCACCAAGACTTTTATTGTTTTCACTTTGTTCAGCATGTTTAGTTTTTTTACTCACTCCTACTATTTTTGAAGAAGGTGTACGGTGTCGAAGCTCTCTGTGTTACGTGCTCATGCTTGCAGTGACGTTCTCACAGTCAGAAAAGGTTACAAACCGCAGAGGTACTGAAGCATGAACTATTTTTAAAAGACCAGCTGTTGTTAGAGTTTATGTTGTTCTGTGTTTTCTTTTAGACTCAACAGATGCTGCTAATAATTTCAGATTCAGACACAAACCACATGAGCAAATGTAGTCTTTCATGAGGCTCTGTAGAAACAACACAGAGTTCATGGTTTGGATAGTTTGAAGGGTAAATTGTGTCTCCAGTAATGTTTATTAGGAGGAACAGAATATAAACTTAGTCTGCAATGTTAATATTTTCTTTAAAGGTGAACCTCACATTCATCTTGATTTCTGAAGTTGAACTCTTAGATTCACTGAGATTTATGATCAGCTTTCCGTAAAAAGGTGCAATTTACAGCAGTGATTATTGTTCACTTCCGGCAGCTGGAGCCACTGTTTTACTTACGTAATGTCTTAATAATACTGAAGCAAGTTAATTAACTTATAAACATATTTTATATTCAAATAAACAAATAAAACAAAAAGATTGTGTAATTTCAGTTAACAAAAGTTTGTCAGCACAAATAATTTTGCACAGACAAGTTCAAAATGAGACAGGAACAGGACGAGCACACTGATAGAAAACCAAAGCCTGACAAACACAGAAACAGGAAAACAGACTAAAACAAGGATCTGAACACAGAGCAGACACGACCAAAACTGTGACAAAACACTGAATTCATACAAAACAGAATAACAAAATAAACATCTTTAATGTCAAATCTGAGGATTTATAAAATCACTGAGCTGGAAACTCCATCCAGAAGATAACTGTGACCTACAGTAAGTCTGTAAAGGACAAAACATTTTAACATAAATATTTAATCCTACAAAAACACTCAAGGTTGCTGAGTTACGTCAGCTCACATTTTGATTTCGATTTTTGAGCTTTTGTCTTAAGTATTTTCAAATGTTGAAAAGTTTACTGTGATGTTAACTTTTTTTACCGTGGTCATTTCCATTTACTGATAAAAGGGGAGATTATTGTAGTTAAAAGGAGCAGAAGGTAAGATAAGATAAAAATAGTATGGCAGCGGGCTCATTATTGTCTTTCAATGTATTAGAACTGAGAGATGTTGGATCTCTCAAGTGTTGCTGAAGAGGAAGAACTGCAGTTTGTCTCCACTGCTCCAGAGCTTCAGGTCCTCCCACACCAGATCACGACTTGTATTTCGCCCCCCCCCCTTTGTGAAATGCAGGTTAAAAAGAAGGAAGCTGCTCCTCCTTTAGCTTCTTCACTTCTTCTTCAGCGTTCTCTCTTCTGGTCTTTTCCTCCTGCAGCTGGAAGAGAAATAGAGGATTTATTTATTGCACATGATATCCCGGTCTGGATGAAAACTCATTCCTGATTGGCTGGAGATTGTGATTTATTACTCTGAGAACATTTAACTGTAAATACACTGGAGAGGGATTTCTCAGGTGGAACAACCAGCGCACTACTAACTGATGAATTCAACATGTAATATAAGAAAATAAAAAACAGAATTACTTTTGGGCAATCAAATAAATATATATTTGTTCACGAATAGACTTTATAATATATAAAACACACACAAAAACATTAATTGGTGACCAAGACCAGAGTTTATTGAGACTGAGACAAGACCAAGACTTTTACGGGCTGAGAGCATTCGAGACGAAGACCGAGGGAGGGCGAGACCGAGTCAAGACCAAGACCAGTTCCCTGCATTGCATGGCACACAATAAAATGTGGAACGAGATCAGGTACTTCTCAAAGTGATCTGAAAGATCCACTTTCCCATTAAAACACCCACGTACAAACACTAAGAGCTGAAATCAACGTACTCATCGTGGGGAGGGGTGACAGTCATTAACGGGAACAACACATGTTTAATTAGGGTTATTGGTTTCATTTGAAGCAATAAGTTTTACTTACAATCAAAGTTAGGATGTTAACAAATCAGACAATGCAAAAGCAATTTATTGATATTCCCAAAGTTATGGTCTTGACTGGTCTTGAAATAAAATCCCGAGTCCTCAATGTCTGAGACCGAGACGAGACCATCAAAAAGTGGTCTTAAGAGAACTACAACACTACTGTACACTCATTTCTGTATTTGGTCACCTTCATCAGAGGTTACCACTCGAATGCTTTTCTTTATATTTTGAGGTCAGGTCATACCGGGGTAGATCGCCATGGTAACTTATGC